GGGAAAGAAGCTAGTAATGTTTCCCCAGAATGCTTCCCCAGCCTGCAACAATATCAAACTTCTGAACCAGATGTTGTAGCTTTGTAATTTTCTTATGAAAATCTTTAATCTACTTTTTATAAGTAGGTAAACTTTTAGTTTCAACAACACCACAGCATAATCACAAGTTGGGTTAAGTATTACTTCCTTTTGTTTTGAACTTGCTGCTTACTACTTTCATTTCGTATTCAAACATTCTCTGTGATCTCCAAGCCACTCAAGATGTTATAGACTATGTTTATCGTAGAATCACAATCCTAGAATGGTTTGTGGTTTCCATGGTTTCCATGGGCTGGAAGGGACCTTAAAAATCATCTAGTTCCAAGCCCCTGCCATGGGCAGGGACACTTTTCACTAGACCAGGTTGCTCAAAGCCCCATGGCTCAAACCTGGCCTTGATAAACTCAAATCACGTCTTCCAGGCCGAAAAGTTCTGATCTGTTTTGTTTTTTGTGTAATCTATGTACTTGATCATCCTTCCACCCCTCTCTTCATTCCATTCATGTCAGGTATGAATATAATTTTCTGGGATACAGGAGGCTTACTGCTCTCATTCTTGATACCTGCTCTGTGCTTTCTCAGTGGCCGCTTCACTGGGACTTCCAAACCTCCAGCATTTGTCCTCTCCTCTTCAGTGCCTAGGAATATTTCTAATGGAGCTACTGTCCTGCTTGGTTTGCTGTATCTGGAAGTTCTGAACAAGTTCAAAATGTTCATATTCTGCCTGGACATGTCACCAGGAAACTTGGAATAAGATGCCCCATCCAGTATTGATGTGATTCTGTTAGTATGTACGGCCACTGTCTACACTGTATCCTGTGTTCCTGTCTCATTTGTTTTACTAGTTATCCCATTGGAAGCTGCTCCGACTGACCAAAGGTTCTTTACCAACACTCCTAAAAATAGTTAGTACACTGAAGGCAGTGCTTTCCATTTCTCAAAATATTCAGAAGACTTCACGAACCAAAATCTGACTTAGGTCCTGGCAGTGTTCTGGCATGCTGCTGCCAGCAAGTCCAGGGGCTTTTTCACAGATCTCAGTGAGCCACTTGCCACTCCAGACTGCTTGACCACCAGCTGTCTGGAGTTCATAGCTAGTCCTCAACATCAGAACATAGTTCCACCTGTTCATGCTGGTTCGTCCAGCTCAAAATCTCCCCTAAACACAAGAAGATCAGCCTCAGTTGCAGCTGAAGCTAGCCTCCATTTATTTCATGTGTTCCTGCAGCTGTTGGTTCCTCGTTGCTATGCTGCAACAGTAGTAACACCCACTCTTGCCATGAATCTGTGTCCACAAGCATGCACTGGTCTCTCTAAGGAGTGACCACAGCCCACTGCTTGGCATCTTGGCTTGGGCAGGCATTGAAGCTATAAAGGAGGAAGTAACAGGCAGTGTGGTCGCAACAGAAGGGTAAGGATTAACAAAGAAGAACCTACAGTGTTCCTTTTATGTAATGCATCCTTAAATGGTGACAATATCTGTGTAAGGTGAATGGCTGTTCAGTGTTGTGTGTTGGGGAGCACTGTGCTGTGTGGGGACTGTGTGGTAACTGCTGTTCCCACAGGGGATGGAGTTGGTTCCTTCAACACACCTCTCCACGTTCCAGTAATCCTCAATGAAGTCCTAAGCAATTCAGCAGTAACCAGGTTGGTTTGGGGCATAGCACAGATTAAAATGGCAGCACAGCTGCTCAGGTGTCTAAAGAGCTGAGAAAAAGCCCTGTTCACTCACTCAGAGGTGAGGGTGGAAGACCAAATGTTGGGAGAGAACTCAGCTGAGCACTGGTGGAGACAAGAACTTCTTGCAAGGAAGAAGTTTGGGCTCAATGTACACTAATTTGGCTGTTGCATGGAATATGTCATCACCAGCCTTTTAAGTGATATTCAGTGCTTTTCTGCTTGCTTGTGCTACAGATTGAATAATGATGAAGCTGGGGCATATATAATTTTAGTATACCTTATGGGAGAAGTGAAAGACCTTAAAAATGTCTGTATTATGCTGGGACATGAAGATGTGGAGATAGTGAATGGGTGAAATGTAAAAGCTGAACTTTTATGTGGCACACCAGGGCTTACAATTTCAACTTGTGTAATTTTATATGTTATAGGATGCTGTCTCCTTGTGTAAATTTAATTAATAGATTCACCTTTTTAGTACGTAAATTGAGATTGTAAAAAAATCCTCTAATATATTCATTCATTTGGAATCCAGATTTGCTGTACTAAGAATTTATAACACTATCACATTTGAGTTCATTGTACTAAGAGGAAGACCTGACACACAGGGTAAGTGGCTCTTACAGCCATCTGACCTCACCTACACCACCAACAGTAGTGTAGAAAAGGTCAAGAATCTTGGATTCTGCCTTTGCCTTGTGTCTGGAGAAACGATGACAGTTAGAGGTGAGATACCTGAAGCATAATAATTCTGAAACATAGCAGGGCTAAGTAGCTAATCCTTGAGCTGAATGAAAAATGCTGGCAAGGAAGTCAAATACTGGCAAACTCTCTGAGCATACACAATTTATGCAAACAAAAGGTTAACTGGAGCAGGTTATACCAATTCTCTGAATGAAACAAACTGTACTGAAAAAGCAGGTTTTGCTAGTGGAATAACAGTGTTGGAATAAATATGTTTACATTTACTGTAGATGATTATGAAAATCAGTAACTTAAGTCTTCCTTAACATCAATTGAAAAGAACTATCAAGGTAGTAGGATACATAATTAAACCTCACCAGATGAGAATCAACAGTAGGTCAGTTATATTAAAATCATAGATTCAAGAGCACTAAGCTATAGAAATAAGATTTGAATATTTTGGTGAAGACAAAAAGGTAGCACATAATACGTGGTTTAATGTGTCGTTCACAGTTTTTAATAATGACTTTTTTCTGACTGAGGCTAAGGCACTTCTCTGATCATAGGGAGGAACCTGATACCAGAATAAACATTCCCCACAGAGCTAATAAACAATAGTCTTTGCATTTAAAATAGTTTCTTCCTTAGATTAAAACATGGTGTTTCAAAACTTTTGGGTTATTTTGCATCTGTACATTGTATTATTTTGCCCCATAATCAATTCTATTATCATTTTATCAGGACTGCAATGTAAAAAATAGTAACTAAGTTCAGTGCTCTTAATGTTCTCAATCCATGTTACTTAGACCAACTTGATTCAAACCTTACAGTCTTTTATTCAGCTTCAGGGTTTTATTTAAAAGTCCCTGAAAACGCAAAAGGATTTCCTCTTAGTTTCCAGTTCCATTGACTCATTCTTCTTGGTAAGAAAGTTATAAATAGGTTGAGCTTTGATGTATTTGTTTGGTCAGATGTTTGTCCATATGTTTCTGACAGTTCTTTTTTTATCTCTTTATTTTTTTCATTTTTATTTTTTTTGTTTGTCAAGGCTGACCCACTGCTCATTCTTAGGCTGAACTTTCTTCTTCATCTTCTTCAGAGTCGGCATCATCATTGTAGAAGTGAATTGTAGCTTGTACTGGAAAACTTGCCAGAACCTTCTCTCCGATGTTATTAAGAAACTTTTGGGATTTGGACTTGGGCAAATAAAGTCTAGTAAAAAAACATATTTTAAGAGAAAAAGTAAAACTATGTGATGCTTTCACAGCTAAACTAAGCTAGTCTGAGTGTTAAAGTCTATTTATCTTCCTTTGGAGAGAAGAAAAATCCTAGGGTTCTTTGTCTCTTAAAGTAAGTTGTTAACTTAAAATCAACAGTACTTTTTAGTTATCTCGGTTGCTTTGGGCATATTGCGTATTGGATTTATCTGAGGTCGCACCCTGATAAAGTGTTGCCAGGGCAGTGATGCATGCTTGAGATTGTTTGGTTTGGGTTTTAGCACAGTTCACAATGGGAGTGTCCCATGCAATGGGGGAAGTTTGAGGAATGTTTTAGAATTCTGGAATAAGACACCAGGTTAAGATTCGGGTTAGCTGCCAGTTGCACAGCAGTTGATCTTGGTGAATTTTGTCTCTCCAGATGGAGGAGGAGGTATACACTGAGAGAGATTTCTTTCAAAATTCATATTGTTTTGTACTGAAATCATAAACATCTTAATTTATATTTCATGTTTTCACCAGCTGTCTCACTAAAGCAAAACTTCCGTGGTCTGTACATATACGTGTTTTTGCATGCATAGGTATGTACATCTCTTCTTGGTTCCACTTTGGCCCTATTTCAGTTAAATTTGACAGAGATAAAGGTTTTAAGCTTTTACAACTTGTATAAAAACAAGTGCATGTAAAGAAGACAGACAGTCTATTTCCTCCTCTAAACAAATGTCCAAATCAGGAGTTTCTACATAATTAAGCCTTAAAGAATCCAAATGTTAGTGGAAACCCTTATAAATCCCCCAAGCACAGGAAAAGTTTTACCTGCAATTCAATTTTTATTCAAGAGCAAATGTAAGCAACGTCAAGACACACATCTGTAACAAGTCACATTCCATTAGCAGCTGCTCACATTTGTTATTTGGGCTTTGTGGGCTTCTTACCATATTAATAAATGTAAATATGAATTAGACGAGGCAGGAGAACATTGTTTCTTTCCAGATTATTTTTTTCTTATTTTTATTATTACCATGTTGTTTCAGGTTCTGTTCAGCCTGGGCATCATTCCTCATGGAGGGATAAAAAATCCATGGAGTCAGGTGAGTAGATAAACTCAGTTATTAAAAAGAGATGCTCCAGGGACAAACTAATGCTTCTCCTGAGAAGAAATATGTCTTGTCTTGGAAGGTGTCACTTTTCCTGTATCTGGTGATAGGATTTAACTCACCTCACAGGATGTTGAAATCCCAGGGCTCCTTTTGATCTAAAATTTACTAGTTGACCATCCAGTTCTGACTGTAAAGAGACATATTTATTACTTAGAACAGGCAAAAAATGAAGGTTTCACTTTTTATTTCTACAGGTAACCATAAAATTCTACAGCAATGTTGGGGGTTTTTTTTGTTTGCTGTGCTGCATGTTGTTTTACTCTGGCTAAGTGCACTTCAGAGAATAGATGTGTCCACAGTCTGCCAATAGTTGCACATTTATCAAAGGATTTGAGCTTGTACATTTTATAAGCCATGAAGCTGTACATTTTGCTGAAGTTCTGATAGAATACTGTAGCAACTGCTGAGCTAATAACATCACCAAATCCAAGTTCAGTGACTAGAAAAAGAAAAAAAGTTTAAAGGAATGGGAAGTTAGGGTTTGTCCTGGTTTCAGCTGGGATAGAGTTAATTTTCTTCCTAGTAGCTGGTGCAGTGCTGTGTTTTGGCTTTAGTATGAGAATAATGCTGATAACACACCAATGTTTTAGTTGTTGCTGAAGTAGTGCTTACTGTAAGTAAAGGACTTTTTATTTTCTCATGTTCAGTTATGAGGAGCACAAGAAGCTGTTAGGGAGCATGGCCAGGACAGGTGACCTGAACTAACCAAAGGGATATTCCATACCATAGAACATCATGCTTGGTATATAAACTGGGGGGAATTGGCCAGGAGGGGCCGATTGTTGCTCAGGTCGGGCTGGGTATCAGTCAGTGGATGGTGAGCAATTATACGCTGCATCACTTGTCTTTCTTGGGGTTTATCCCTCTCTTTCTCTCTCTCTTTTAATTGTCTCCTTTTTCATTATAGTTACTATTATTATTGTAATCATTGTTATTATATCTTACTTTATTTCAGTTACTAAACTGTTCTTATCCCATCCCATGGGTTTTACCTTTTTTCTTATTCTCCTCCCCATCCCACAGGAGAGGGTGTAGGAGAGCTGCAGTGAGCAAGCAGCTGCACGGTACTTAGCTGCCACTTGGGTTAAACCACAACAGGGTTTTATAAAATACCTCCTAACTACACTGACGCATAGTTTGGACTTGGAATGTTCAAGCTTAATTGTAACCAATGATCACACGAGCACATTCAAGAGTCCAAACAGTTAAAATCAAGAGACAGCTGGCATCTCATATTTCTATGCAACAAGCAATAAAAAGCAAGCATTTTGATAAAATAGGGAAGGTAGAAACGTATATTTTAGGCATCAGAATTAAATTCAGCATTTAGCACAAAATAAATTCCTTCAAATTAAGGTCACAATAAAACCCAATAATTTGCGAATGTTAATTTTACTAAATCCTATTAGGATTATAAACCCGGAGTGTAAACCTGAAAGCATCTCCCAGAATCACAGGGCCCTATCACTTCCTCTTGTAGGCATGTATTTTCTTCCATAACTTAAAACAGGAAGACTTCTTTTTTCCTATCAAACTGATGTTGCATAAAATACAAAGGTTTAGCTTTGCTGTAGTAGAACTTCTATTGAACAGAATCTAGAAACCATCCATTCTACTACAAACAAAGATGACTTTTTGCCAATGTCAGAGTAATTAATCTATCTTTCAGTGGAAGTAGGCTTCAGCATGGATATTTGGTGGGCCCTAAAAAGCCCCAAGCTATGGACTGAGCAAGAGATCTTACAGAATTCTCTCTACCTTTTGTGTTGGCCTGTTGCTCTCATACCCACTTGTTTGTCTTGTAGCCAAAATGATTTGTCTTCAGGCTATTAGGGTTTTGCAGAAGGGATTTTTAGTGTTTAATCAGGAGACATATTTACTTTGTTTCCACAGTACTAAGTAAAATGGACTCCTGATCTGGCTGCACACTCTAGATGTGATCATAATGTCTGTGTTGAATACCATTCTCCTTCCATATTTACATTAAAATTAAACCAGCCTTTTTAATTTACCTGTATTTTTTACTCTCTTCTCTTTGGAATATATATTATTTTAAAAATAATTCTATATCTCATAATAATATTGATTAAACACACATTATATGCTTTTTCTTCTCATGCTATAATAGAGCATTTCTGAAAAGCAGTTCTAATAAAAGACAGTTGCAACATCTAACCCAGTGTCTATACAGCAGAAAAGGTTCATTTGTGTTATGTTGTAGATATACAATAGTAAATTTAAATTATTTTGAGGGTTTTATTTGGTCATAAATAATGTAACTGAATTTAGGTACTAGGAAAAGTGTTACTTTTGTACAAGGAAAAGTATATTATGTATACATAACTATAGGATATATTGTAACACGTTCTGGGCAATAGAGGTAAAATTATTAGTTTATTTTTTAGCAGTAGTTTCATTTTTTAGCACTTTTGTCTTGAATCTTTCAGTTTCTCAGGTTAGATTCTGGTATGTATATTCTTTTTTGAAAGAATTATTTGAAACATTATTTTTTGTAACTACACAGAGGATGTTGAAACTTTTATTTGCTTCACTCCAATGTCTGGAGTGTCTACTGATCTGTAAAGAATTGGCATTTTTATGTCTGCACTGCAGAAAATAACAGTAGCCAGCATGCAACTAACCAGCAAAACCATTGTGTTCAATCCATATTTGAAGGCCTTCTGCTAGAAACCTCAGTATCTGTGCTGAAGGTACTCGCCTTCCACACCAGTGGGCTGTAGGTTTGCATTAGTGAGCACTTCTTCCCACATAGGCATCACACAAAGTATCCAAGCATTTTTCCTCTTCTGTGACCCAGTTAAAAAACATACAGGATTCCTAAAGCCCTCCTTCAGTCCTCATTAGGTCCCAAGCTACAGAGGCATCTAGGATGCTGGAGCAGTGTGGATGTGCCACAAAGTGTAGTTGAAAAGGATCTGAGAAGCTTCTGGCAGGAAGGAGAAATGTTAAAATACTGAAATGAGCTGTTACATTTATACTTGGCTTGAAACAATGCCACACTCCTCTCATCCATAGCAATTTACAGGTGTCTCTGGCAAAACTTGGAACACTGCTGGGAAGGGCATTCTTCCTTACGCTTTCCTAAGGCACCTGCAGGGAGGAGTAGGGCACTTCTTCAGATCTGCACAGTTAAAATCTCCATCATCAGCAGGTAAAAAGTGCAAGGTAAAGAGGTGTTGCAGATGTTAAAATAGAATAGTAGAAATTGGGAATTTGTAAAGACTTGCACTAAGGAGAGTTGTCTTAACATGCTGAGCCTTTGGTAGAAAGCTGGAGATGTAACTGTGGATCAGATCCTGCAAAAACTCACAAAGGTGCTTAGGACTAAGCAGGGGCGAAGCACCATTTCAATAGATTTTTAGTTTGGGACCTATGTTGAATGTGCTTCAATCTCTATTTTTGTTCTTTGAGCCTAACAAATCTTCCTGCATGAGTAGATAAATGTAACAATCACAGTGCCTTTCAAAGGCTCTTGGCAATTAAGAGCTACTTTAAAATCCAATTTTGTGTTCATTTCTTAGGTGGTTTTGCTATAGCAATATCCCTCCAAGAAAAACCAGTCAATAAAATTGTGTACCCAAAAGTATGTTTTTCTTAAATTCATCTTAAAGTCATTTTCATTCAAAGTCCCCCTGTACACAAAATATCACTACAGCGTAGGCCTGGAAATTTCAAACTGAGGATATTTTTATTTTTATAATTAAGTAAATTAAAACTGTTGTTAAAATAAGAGTTGAGTAAGCAGTGCTTTCTGCAGCTCTTTAAGAACTGATAATGATTCTATATCTGATACAAAACCAGAGATACTCTTAACCATTATCATGTTCAGAACATTTTAATTTGAACCATGTTTTCTAGCACTGAAAAAAAGGTTCAAATCACTTCTTGTGTTCAAATAGTTTCAATTTCTGCACCTGTTTTCTGTAAGGGTTATTTTTTCAGAATTTAGTCTCACCATTTGTTGATTCTCTGTCATCTCACCATCTCTTGCTGTGAGTGTCCAGGGCCTCCATAAAGCAGGGCTGCTGAAAGAGTAAGATAGAATAGTGGTCCCACAGTTAATTCTTTGTGGAAATATCCATACAGTACAGCTCCTTGTGTTAGATTCTGCTGGCATCTTTTGAACTAATGTAATTTTTTCTTTTCAACACATTTTGATTCAGTAAATCTGATTTCTATGGCAATAGCAGTCTTTCTTTTGTCTACAATGATTAAACAAACTAGACAATTGCTTGCACATTTTTAACTAAGGTGTTATTTCACAACTCAAAGCAGCTGCATTGAACTCCAAATGATGATGTAATTAATACTGAAATCTTTTTATTCATGCAGCACTGCTACAAAATAAAAAGTAGCCTCCGTCTCTGACAGACTTTCTAAATACAGATTCCATGTTGTCATTGAGCAGGCAGTTATTTATTGAGTAAGCAACTCCAGCATTCAGCTGACATGGGCAATCTGATCTAATTAGCTTAAGAGAGCATGTGGTGGATGCTACATATGCCTCTTTTTTGGCAGTGGGCATTTAAAATTAAGGATGCTCTTTTTAACGCTACTTTCCACTTCTGCTGCTGTGTAACAGGTCCATACAGTTGGGGAAAGATATGAAGGGTAAATAAACATAGTAGTAATAAACATAATAATAAACAATAAACATAATTATTTGCTCTCTCAACCTTAATTTTCATTTACTTCCATGTAAAAGTTCTGAAATATTCGACTGAAAAGGATAAAATATCAGCAAAAGAAATAAAATACCTGGTCTATGTGCAACATTTTCAGAAACATTTTGCCCTTTACTTACAAAATTGGGAATTGTTTTCTGCTGTCTAATCAACGCTGATATTGTCACATTGAAATTTACAGTCACAGCTTTGAAAGGAAGCTGCTGGAAAAAGGTCTCCCTGTGCGTGCCTTACCTCTCTGGGTGCTCCCTTGGCCGGGGTGGTGGGTGCTGCTGCTGCTGCTGCCCGGTGCCCCGGGAGCAATGACAGACGCGTTGCACTGCGGCCTGGAGTGGGAGTCTTGCAGCTGCACCCTCCATGGCATTTGATGGTCTGAAGCCTGTGGCAGGCTTGGCGCTTGCCTGGGCCTTTCAGCCCCTCCTTTATCTTAACTCCCAAAGAATACTTACCTAAAACAAACACGGCCTCAGGTAAAAGGGGAGAAACTGTCCTTAATGAGATTTCTTTTGACTCGCCCAAAGAGTTCAAAGACAGGGCTCTTAGGTTGGCAGGCTGTCCTGGGGACAGCACTGCTAGGGAAACAGAGGCTTTTTGTTACGTTTGGTTAGCAAATCACATGGAAAAAAATCCATACCTTTACCTTTCTGTCGCTGGTTTACAAAATCTGTATTTGCTCTATATGAAACATACAATGTAAATACGTTGTTTACATGTCCTGAGAAAACTCATCCACACCCTGTCCTAAATAAGTGTAACAGAGACTTGAACAGAATTTAAAATGTACACTCATTTTTTTAAATGACTCAAGTCTTTTCCACGTCCTAACTTTAAACAAGATACCTAAAATTAGTGAAGGTGAGAGGATTTAAAGGCATGCCTAGTGACTTCTCAAGCCTACAGGGATGTTCTTTTAATTTGATTGCTATCTGATAGATGGAGAAGAAAGCTTATGTCAAGAAAGATTACTTTGTCTATCAAAGAATCAGGGTTATGAATGCCATCAATTTGAGGAATCTTTTCTTTTAAAGTATGCAATATATGTTTTAAGCCTACAAAGACTGGATAGAAACAGACTTCTTCCAAGCTTTCTTCCCGCTGTTTGCATTTGTAACATGCATTACTTCTAACCTGTTACATTGTGCAAGAACAAATATTACCTGGTGGGTGATATTACCTGATTTTCATTGTGATGGTTCATTGCTACAGTTTCACTTTGTTTCCTTTATTTCCCAACTACTGCAGGTATGTGAGAGGTTTATAAGAACCTAAAGCTGAATTCTCTTCCCACTGGTGCTATTTACACATTGACACCAGAGGGAACAGATTCAGATTCCAAATAAAATTGGTTTCTGCTGTGAACTTTCTTCCCAGAAAGCAAAAAACCAATGTTGTTTACTGAACATGGAAGACATTGATTTTTTAGTATGAATCAGGTCCCTTCTAGCTGGCATAGCTGAAGAAACCATCAAGTCAGTCAGTTTGAGAGGACACTGAAAATCCTCAGTGACTCAGATACCTCTGAGGTAAGCCCTGTGGCTCTTTTTCAAGTTGTGATCCAGCTGGAGGTAGCACATGTCCAGTCAGCAAGAAGGAAAGAAGGGGCTAGGCTCACAGACGAAGACCACTGGATACATTCTCTTGGAGACACTATTTTTCCCTGAAATTGTTCTGTATTAGAAAACATTGTATATACGCATTTGCACGTGTTTTTTTGTGCATTCTACTGATCTTGCTTAAATCTAAGTATCTTCTGACAAGGAGGAGCTTCGGTCAGATTTGAAAGTCAGACATAATCTTACACGATTCAGGTTACATGGTTGTGTTAGCTACTTGGCACTCCTAAGAGTGCTAAAAGCAACAGCGTGACACAGGTTCTGGTGTTTCTGAAGTAGTCTTCAGGAACAGCATCTGGGATTCGATTTGTTGAGGTCTAATTCTTACATCTTGGGTCATTTCCCGCGGTGCGCAGCTCCAGGG